GCATGTTTGTACTGTATGTGCATCTGTCTGCTCACTGCATTTGTGTGTCTCTGTTTGTTCACTGTATTTGTGTGCATGTTTATTCACCGAATTCGTTTGTATGTGCCTGTTTGTTCACTATGTTCATTTGTATACATCTGTTTGCTTACTGCATTTGTGTGCCTCTGTTTGTTCTCTGTGTTTGTATGCCTCTGTTTGTACTGTGTTTTTGTGCATCTGTTTGCTCACTGTGTTTGTGTGCGTCTGTTTCTAGGCCTGTTTCCTCCACTAATTGACTTGCTCATTCTTTGGCTAATAGCCACATGGTCTTGGTTACTGTATCGAATATATAGTAAATCTTGAAGTCAAGAACTGTCCAAAAACTTTGGTTTTCATTTAAATATTTTGTTTACTGTGTCACTGTTTTGCCAGTGAATATAAACTGTAGAGTATATTTATTGATATACACAGACAACTTGACTATGGTTTGGACTAGACTTGAGGTGAATCTGTAGTTCACGTTAGGAAGAACTGACAGTGTAGTTTTCTGTCCATGAACATAGTACATCCACACTTAATTCTCTGACATCTTTAACAATTTTCTAATTGTCCTCAAATACATATTTTAAACAGCTGTCTTGTGAGACCCATGTATGTTTCATTTCTTTAGTGTTAATATGAATAGTATTTTTATTCCAGTTCCTAATTTTTTGTTGTTGATATATAGGAAAATAATTGACTCTTATGTAATGGGCATGCTATCCAAAATCATTGCTATAATTCTTTCAAGAAGTTTTCATGCCTTTCCCAGATGAACTGTCTCCCTCAGGGGAAATGTATCTACTGTTTTGTTTTTGGTTTTTTTCTTGAACATTGTTGTTATTAATAATGTTGATTTTTGACCATGCATGTAAAATATTTACATTTATCTTGTTAGGTAAAAAGGATAAGTTACGTGTCTACTATTTATCCTGGTTAAGAAATAAGATTCTCCATAATGATCCAGAAGTTGAGAAGAAGCAAGGGTGGACCACCGTGGGCGACCTGGAAGGGTGCGTGCACTATAAAGTCGGTGAGTGCTCAGGGGTCACTGTGCTCTGTTCTTCAGAGTTCCCTTAGAGTCAGGTTTAAGTTGTTGGACTCTTTGAAACTGGTGAGGTGTCCCGTGACCTCTTCACTTCTCAGGCTCATAGTTAGCGTATGCTGGGAGTTCCTTTGCAGTCACTAGAACGTTTGAGACTTTAACTGGTTTCCTGGCATTGTGCAGAGCCACCGTGCCCTTATTTATAAATGACTGTGGCTGGCCTGTTGACTTAGCATTGTTTTGTGGTTGGCATTTCCCTTCCTTGGAATATTCATTGGTTCTCACAAAGTCATCTAATAAAACTCAAGCCAGCTTTGGTTGTGTAAGAAAAAGTAAGTGCTGGTTAGAAATGATGAGAAAGGATGGACCATAGCATAGAGTTTTAAGGGACTGACACTGTGATTTTATAGAAATAGGCTGGTTGCCGTTATGGAGTCCATTGATTGCTGATTTGTGCTTGCATGTTAAGGTACCATTATAGGCAGTTATTCTGCGCACTTCCCCCAGGGTGCTGTAATCTGTGACATTGTCTTCTTTATCCATTGTGGCAGCTCATTGGTTAATAATTATTATAGTTGGCATCTCATTATTTGGAATGAATCTGAGTTTCCACCATGACCAGGAAGCTAAAATATAGTTAATTAAAGTTAACAGGCTTTATTTTGGCTTCCATGCAGCCCCAGTACCTCCTTAATGTTGATAGTAATGGTGTGGTCTATAGAGATTATCAGTGATAGCTATGGTATGATCTATAGGGATTGTCAGTGATGGCTATGGCATGGTCTATAGAGATTGTCAGTGATGGCTATGGTATGGTCTATAGAGATTATCAGTGATAGCTATGGTATGGTCTATAGAGATTATCAGTGATGGCTATGGTATGGTCTGTAGGGATTAGCAGTGCACATAGGATGATTTCCATCATTTCAAGAAAGTCTATTAACAACACCCACTGGTTGTGCTTGTATAACCCTCTGTGTGGATTTGACAGTAAGTGAAGTTTAACAAAGCTGTGTCAGTAACAAGTCCTTGCACCTAGGCAAGTAGCAGCATGATGTTTGGAGGTCCATGTCAGTGGTCTACAGAGCAGACCGGGCATCATACTAGGGAACAGGAATAGCTGTGAAAGGCGATGCATGTTCTGTGAGTCACACATGACTTACAACTTGCTTCTATCTTCTGATGTCTGACTTTTGACATCATTATCATGTTGAAGTAATTGTGAGCCCTCCAGTCCTCAGTGTTGTCTGCCTGGCAGTGCCCTTAATATTAAAATCCTTGGAATCTAAGACATGTTTATCAGCTAAACTAGTCAGTCTCAGTTAAGAATTTATCTAGGAAACTGGATTATACACTAGAGAGTTGGAAAAGCTATGTATGTGGCTTAAGCTCTCTGTGCTTCTCACCCCAACTCCTAGTTGTCCGGGCGAGCAGCAGAAGGTATAAAGTTTGCAAGTGGCAACTAAAAGAGCTTATGGCTCCGTGTTAATGCTGACAGTATTTCTCCTGCTTTTTATGTTTGTTTCAGTAAAATATGAAAGAATCAAGTTTCTGGTAATTGCTTTGAAGAGTTCTGTGGAAGTCTATGCATGGGCACCGAAGCCATATCACAAATTTATGGCCTTTAAGGTAAAACTGCCAGTTTTAAATAGACTTATAGGTTTGAACAGTTAATATAAAGCTATGTGTTAACATAACTGTCAAATCAGCTATTCTAACATAACAGGCTTGTATAACTATTTTCTAACTTCTCAGATGATTAATTTGCCAAAATGGTACTTGTACTGACCCTTAAGAAGAAGATGGTCCCTGAAAGACATAGATGTGTTGAAGATCTAGACTCTAGGTTAAAGGGCTGAATGAGGGACGGTTGGGAAGGCATGTGTTCAGTGCACTACAATTTAAAGACTAAGTAATAAGCTGGGTGTGACAGTACATGCCAGAGAGGCTGAGGCAGGAGGATTGTTGTGGGGTCAAGGCCAGCCAGGGATACCTAGCAAAACAAAAAAAATCCAAATAAACTATAGAGGTTTTTAATGATACAAGCAATACATATTATACATTAAATAGAAGAAGGGAATTAAAATATGTATAGTATGGTCCTGTTTTTATATAAATTTGAAAAACTCACTTTAACAGAATCCTGATATTTACAGAAAAATGGTTTGTGCTAAACTTGGGACTGTTTTGGTTGTGAGTTCATATGCACTCATAATTGATCTCATTCACTCTGGTGTGTGGCCTAAGAGGTGTCATATGAGACAGTGCTGTAAGTGTCATAGTCTGTACGCTTCCACACTCCCAAACTGCAGGGACCTAACAACCATTGTTCTGTGAGTATGTTTAGTAATTTATTTTAGGAATTGCCCTAAATCCAGTGTATAAAATTCTTAACTAAAAATTTCTACTGTTCCAGCACTAGAGATAACAGTTATTTCTATTTTGAGATACAGAACTTTTAACAATAGTTAAGGAACATTTTAGCAGAGAATAAGAAACAAACTGTTTTGATATAGTTTATTAAAATATAAGTCTCAATTAGTTGGGAAATTTGAATTAAAGGATACTTCCTGCTTGGTTGCCCCATGGATCAGAGTCAGGGTTACCATTTTTGGTAAGTCCTAGTATTGCTGAGAAAAGACACTAAATTATAAAATCCTTCACATCATCTGGAGTCTAGTCTTAATATTTCTTTGTGCTAGATACTGAAATGAGCGTAACTTTATGCCACTGCTGCAGCCCAGAGCCCCAGACCTAAGAACTGTGCTGGCATGAAGAACTGAGGCTCTCCAGTCACACAGCTAAAGTCTGTGGCTCTCATAGTATCAACCCTGACAGAGTCTCAGTGCCATGGCCCCTGCAGCAGCTCACTGCACTGCTGTGTCTTAAGTATTCGAATCCTGCATTATGCCAGTTTCTACCATTGTTGACTTTGCCTGTGTTCTAAGCAAGACACACAGCTGGACAGACAGAGCATTCTTCAGCTAGGTAGGAGGGAAGACATGTCTTCCAGATGCTAGTTAGCAATCCACTTGATAAATCAAATGCCTCATCTGATGTGTAAGTCTGTCCTCCTGCTTCTGTCTTGATTACCTCTGTAGTCATTTGGAGAACTGCTGCATAAGCCATTACTGGTGGATCTCACTGTCGAGGAAGGCCAGAGGTTGAAAGTGATCTATGGATCCTGTGCGGGCTTCCATGCTGTTGATGTGGATTCAGGCTCAGTCTATGACATTTATCTACCAACACACGTAAGAAAGAACCCACACTCTATGGTTGGTTGACTGGCTTCACTTTGTTTTGACTTTCCCCTTTACTCTGCTCAGTGACTAACACAAGCAGGGTTTCCTCATTCCCCGTGGTGTAGGGTGAGTATTTAAATGGAGCACTGTTTGCAGTAGCTTCAGGTTTCAGAACTGTAGAATTCTGCTTTCCTGGCTCTGTGAAGCTCTTTGAAAACCTCTTAGCACTTGCTTTGACTAACATGGGATGGAGGTGGGACTGTTGCTGTCAGGCAGAACACCTTGGGTTGGGAATGGTTCTCAAATGAGTCTGCCATCCGCTTTTGTGTCCAGGGACTCAAACACATGCTTCAGCAGAGCACGTGACCTTTAAATGGTAGACTCTGGGTTGTATATTGATTGCATGGACTTGCCAAGATTCTTGCCTGTTTGTGGTAGGTACAGCCAGGGATGCAGCACTACCGCATCCTCTAGACAGTCTTGCTGAGCATGTTTGCCGCGCTGGAGATGACCGCAGACATGCTTCCCCGTTCATGTTCTCTAGATTCAGTGTAGCATCAAACCCCATGCAATCATTATCCTCCCCAACACGGATGGAATGGAGCTCCTGGTGTGCTACGAGGATGAGGGGGTCTACGTGAACACGTACGGAAGGATCACCAAGGACGTGGTTCTGCAGTGGGGAGAGATGCCGACATCTGTAGGTATGATGCATGTGACGAGGCGTCCGTGAGAGAGCCACTAGGACCACATCTGTGTGTTGTACTAATGTTGCATGTTGCTCACACCGTCTGGCTACTCGGTGGTTATCAGCAGATGGGAGAAGGTTAGAACAAATTCCCAGTAATTCTTGGGTACTTTAAAACCTGTGCAATTGTTGCCTCTCATTAGACTCTTAAGTTACCTAAAGGGCAGGTGTTTGGGGTGTTTGTTTGTGTGTTTGTTTTGTTTTTGGCCAATTCATGTGACATGAAGAAAATCAGAGAAAGAAGCATGGTTTGTTTTTGAGTGGCTGGGCCCCAGTCATCTTAGGCTCCTGAGTAGTCTTCTGCTTTTGTGTTCAGGGACCGAGGCTGATGCTTGACATCACATGGCTGTCCTTATGTCCCCAATGTGTCTGCTCGTCATTCTTCTTCCCTTCTCTCATGGCTGTTTCTAGAAGAGGCATAAAAGACCCAAGGGAAGTTGGCTTTTTCAGTTACTGACTCATGACTGCCCAATGACAGATGTGGCATACAACAAGCACACTGCCCCCTTTGGGTCACTACTGTAAATTGAACCCAGAGCCTCGTGCACTGGAGGTAGGCTTTCAGAAATATGCCCAGCACTGAGGGAGAACTCCTGGAAAACCAAAGTCCTCGCAGGCTAGGCACTCAGCGTCCGTGCATGTGAATCTGAAGCGTCTTGTCAGGACTCCTCCCTGTTAATGCTTTGTTTTTCCCTCTCTAAAAGCATATATCCGCTCGAATCAGACAATGGGCTGGGGAGAGAAGGCAATAGAGATCCGATCTGTGGAAACCGGTCACTTGGATGGTGTATTTATGCACAAAAGGGCTCAGAGACTAAAGTTCCTGTGTGAGCGCAATGACAAGGTAAGGCTTCCTTATGGCGTCTGTGCATTTGCGGCTGCTTTTTACAGTGGCTTGTGGTCCATGGGCAGTGATGACACATTCTAAAATAAATCAAGAAAACCCTTAAACATTTCATTTGAGGCTATCCGGGGCTGGGCACCAGGAAGTAGTGAGCGGCTGCTGACTGTGCCCTCCGCTTGTGTTGCAGGTGTTCTTTGCCTCTGTCCGCTCTGGCGGCAGCAGCCAGGTCTATTTCATGACCTTAGGCAGGACTTCTCTTCTGAGCTGGTAGAGGCAGTGTGAGCTGGGATCACTGACCTCTGGAGTCGGCAAGACCCCGAGAACTTGGAATTCCTTGCAACTGGAGCTCAGAGCTGTGCCGGTGCAGCCAGGACGGCTGTCTATGCAGGCCTCTTGCGTGTCGTGTCTGGTCAGGTCCTCTCCCCTCCCTCCTACACTTTTGCCAGTTTATTCCCATTCTCTCCTTTTCCTTTCTCAAAAATAAATCAAGGCTGCACTGCAGCTGGTGCTGTCTAGACTCTACCGTCGGTGCTAGGAGTGCTCGGGGACGCACAGCAGACCCGGAAGAGCGCCTTGCCTCCAGCTCCAGGATTCCTCGGCTCTGAGCGACTGGCCTGTGGGTGTCTGAAGGTTGTGATGAGCACGCCATCAGACGTTGGCAGTGGGCACAAAGAGGTGAAAAGTTGGTGTAAGAAGCAGCTTGCTGAAGCAGAGAACAGATTTAATATAGTAACATTAACAATGTATTTAATTGACATTTCTCTTTTTGTAATGTGACCGTATGTGGACAAAGAAGGTGGTGCAGGTCTCAGAAGTTAATATTTATAAAATGTGAAAGACACAGTTACTAGGATACCTTTTTTGTGGGTGGGGCTTAGGGTGGGGTGGGGTGGGTTAAAGGGTCCCATTTTGTTTCTTTGAAAAGTTTTTTGGAGGGGGTTGTCCTGGCCAAGAACTCAGTCATTTTTCTGTGTACCAAGTTTTGCCTAAATTGTGCAGATGGTTCTTAAGAAAGAAAAGGAAAAGAAAATGTTTGCGTCTTGTTGGAAGGCCAGAAGCTTGTTGTGTGACAGTATTAGCCCGGCCTCGGCTGCAGGCTTAATGTCTGCTAAGCCTCAAGTGCAGCAGCTCCTCCACCACAGCCTGCACCCGTAGGAGAAGGTCAGCTTGCCTGTGGGCTTTTGTTTCCTTTTGTTTTGTTTTTTGCCTACCTCATTGTTTCTAATGCATTGAGAGGTGACTTAGTTTATGGTTTTGGCAGAAAACATTAATGTTTAATTTAACCTTAATACCAAAACTATCTGATTAAAGTTTGACTGATTTATGTCACAAGTCTAATCAGGTACAAAAAAAGAAAAAAACAAACAAGCCTGTCTATAACGGTGGGGAGTAGCCTTGTGGCTGCTACAGTCTGCTTCCAGCATGCAGACTGCTCTGCTCTCTCCAAGTTCACCATTAGAGGGTGACAGACAGCTGCCACCTGTGACACACAAGAGATCTTATGTTCTCAATTAAAGGGTTTGGAAGCAGGCAGGGGTCACGCTGGGAGTCACACAGACCTATCATGTTGCAGGAACCTTTTCTTGGGAGTGAGGGTGTGTCCCTTTTCTAAAAACGCAATGCACTAAAACTATTTTAAGAATGTAGTTACTCCTACTTCTTCATAGATGGCGCATCGCCTCCCTGCCTGTGTGTCAGGTGTAAGATCGACGCTTTGGCTTTTCTTGTTTTTCTCACGTGCTCTCTTGTTCTCTCTCCTTTTTTAAAAAACTAATTTTTCTTTATGAATATGTCTGTGACATTTGTAATAAATGTCTTGTAATAATTTGCTTCATGGCTTCATGGTCATCACTACATTCTCTGAGGATGCTAGTGTCTCAGTGAAGAGGCAGCGCTGAGTCGTGGCCCTGCCATCTTGCTCTGAGTGGGGCTGCCTCGTGGCAGCTGCTGTGTGCTTCATTCCCCAAACACAAGCGTGGTGTTTCAGAGGCTTCCTTTGTGGTTAATTTCCCTTTACAGCATAATGCATCAATTCCCTGTCCCATGGAGCAGTTACATGTACTTACTGCCAAGCTTGTACCAGCCGGCCTAGGTCACACAGTGTCAGTCATTCTCTTACTTCTGTTTTATGAACAACAAAAATCTAGTGAAACATTCAGTATACAACTGCAGCTAAATGGTTGGTCATAAATACCAACAAAGACAAGTCAAGATAACCAAGCAATCCTTACTCCTTTTAAGGGGGAAAGGAAGTAAAAGTTGTTTCCTGTTGGCATGACTTCAGAGTAATGCAAAACTGTTTATTTTCTAGTTTGTGGCTAACCTAGAGTAGGTTAAAGAGTTATCCCATCTATCTCATCAGCAGTGGACTCAATTAGAATCTGATGCTGGTAGCCTCCTACCCACACTTGGGGTTTTTATAAAATGAGAGGGGACCAGCAAGGCGAGTGTATGAATCAAGCTGTTTGGGTGTTTGCAGCCGTCTCCCTGATTTTAGTGTGCCATGAAAGGCTAACCGATAGCTCTGTAGAAACACAAAGCTACAGACAGCAAGAAGCATGAAGAAACAGGAGGCTGCTGTCCACCTTAGTCCTGTGTGTCAGTCTGTCAGCCAAATGTTGCAAAGCCATAGGTTGCAATTAGTACAAACATACGTTGTTGGGATTATTAATATCTATCACTTTCTCTTAGGGAGATATAGGTGGAGGATGGGCTCTAGTCATCTGTGTCTGTCCTTCTTGCACGCAGCCCAGTGGGCATTCTCCCAGTTGACTCAGACCAACTCCATGACTGACTTGATTAAAGGAGAGCAGTCTGCCCCAGGCAGGCTTCTGGCAGCTGCTCTCCCCCCAACCTCAGTCATCTTGACTTTCCCTTCTTGGTCCTGACACCTTGTAAACTGGGCTGACAGTGAGCCTAGACAAGTTAGTTCAGGTATCCTGGGAGAGTTACTCAGGAAAAACAAGAAATGGGCTGCTGTGACTTCCTATCCATTTAGGGAGGGACAGGCTTTCCTTACTCCCCTCCACAGCACACTGGTTTCTCCAAGTGTCATTTTGGCAGAACAGTATTAAGATGACACACCGTGGTATGTGGACCTTGGAACTGCTCTTCACGGGGGCCACCACACCCAGGTGTGTCTGGGGTCAGCCAGAGCTTCCGTGCCTTTCTGTACAGAAGTCAGAGGAGCCTCTTCTGTGGCCAGTGCAGTATGTTTAGTGTGCGCATTGGCGTTGGAGGAAATGTTTACAGAAATGGTTTGCCTGCACTAATACGCATCCCATTTCCCATGGACTTTGAAATGACTTTTACAGGCTGTTGAGTTTCTAGCTCAGGTGTAGCACGCCTAAGGATGTGTAGTCCCTAATTCTACCAGTTACAGATTTGCCGAGTAATAATTAATAATACAGGTGAGGAACTGCATTGAGTTTATGCGTCATGAAGCCAAGCAGGCTACGACAAGTAGCCCACCTTTGCTTTCTCTTTTTTTTGCAGTGCCGACTTGTCTACTGTTATACAAATTGCTGTTCTTCCCTACTTTTCTTTCTTAAATAAAGAAAAAATAATTTCTACTTCAGTGTGTCTCGACCTTTTAGGCATTTCCTTCACATGAAGATCCCGGTTTTGTGTATTCCTTCCCTCCCCCGCTGGCCCATCGAGGCCACAACAGGCTCCACGTGCTGCTGTCGCCGGCTCTGAGAGATTGCTGAAGAAGGGCAGTTATGAAGAAGTACCAGGCATATGCACTAACTTCAGACATAAGGTGAAAAGCTCATCACCAGTCTGTGAGGCAAAAGCAAGAGTGAAGGAGGAGGCCTGGCTCTCTACTGTCCAAGTCGGGTCATACAGTGGGGGATGGTGAGGCGGTTCCACCCACACCCAGCCGCTCAGCACTGACACTCCAGTTCACCCTCTTTTGGCCTGCACGTGGAAGACACATGGCAGACACACAAATGCAGAATAAAAGTCCTTTAAAATGTGAAATAGCATGTTCTTCCCAGTAGGACATACGGTAGTGCTTTCTCAGTTGGTTCATAAATGCTGTCTTGAGTGCGGTAGCTAGATGATGTCATCATGACTGAGGGCCCAGTCCTCTGTCCCCAGGGTTTTCTAGGCAATTGCCAGCTCCAGGAGACGGGTGCCAGCTCTCAGGACTGTCAGCTTACCTTTGCTGACAGGGATGCGTACGCCATCATCAAAGAGACTAATGCACTTCCTCCCATGTTTATCTCCAAGACGAGAGTAAAATAGTAAATGTCTCAGCCAGCAGGTGACCTGAGGTTTTTTTTTTTTTTTTCTGTTTGCAATTGGTGACCAGTTAAGCATAAAAACCTAGTGGTGTCTTTGTGGACTCTCTTCCAGCTTTCCCCTCTGGTTGGGGGGTTCACTCGAAGGAGGTAATTGCAATAGATCCGGCCTCATAGCTGACACCGGCTTTGTTTTGGTGTCACAACCATTGACATTGTTTTGTTGCTTGCTGCCATGTAAAAGAAGGACATCTCCATTTCCCTTTAAGAGGGGTAGATGGAGTGCTTTTAAAAAAATGGCCAAAGTCATTACCACATTATCCTCCGTGCGTGGAGGTGTGCCTTCAGATACTAGGTTCTCTTACCTGGCTGTTTGTGCGAGCCTCTCAGCATTAATCTGTCTTAATAAAAACAAAGTAAAACTTGATGTTTGTCCTGGAGAAGTTCTGCCCTCTTAGTGGTGTGAACCTGGTGATCAGCTGTACTGGTCTAGCTGGGCCAGAGAGGGGGGAGTACAGAGTCCCACCAGGCTGGATGAGACCAGTCCTATGATACATCTTGGTTGTCAGCTTGACACACCTGGGAGTAGGGAGCAGCACTGAAGGACTGCCTCCGTCACACCGGCCTGCGGGTGGAGGTGTCTGTGGGTCATTTTCTTGAATCCTATTTGGAGAAGGGCCAGGGTCCTTGTGGCCGGTGCCACCTCTGCACAGACAGTCTTAGGTTTTATGTGAGAACTAGCTCGGCAGAAGCAGTACACGATCCAGTAAGCGTCATTCTTCCGTGGATTCTGTTTTAGTCCCTGCCTCCAGGTTCCTTCCCCAACTTCCACTGGGATAAATTTGTGATATGGAAACATAAGATGAAATAAACCTTTTACGCCCCTAACTTGGTTTTGACTAGAGTTTTATCACAGCAAGAGCAAGGCAAACCAGACCTGCCAACTTGAACAGAGGAGGCCAGGGCTCTCCCTAGTGTCCCCATTTGGACCCATGGCAACACTCAATTTTCTCCCAGACGGCGGTCTCCAGGGGATTTGAATCTGTTGTTCTAGTTTTTCATTTGTTTAGTCATTGTATGTTTGGGATGCCATTACAGATGGTTGTGAGCCACCACGTGGTTGCTGGGAGCTGAACACAGGACATCTGGAAGAGCAGTCAGTACTCTTAATCTCTGAGCCACCCCTCCAGCCCTGGTTTTGGGTTTTTAGTTTATTATTTATTTGAGTTTTTGAGTTATTTGTATTATTGTTTCTATTTTGATCTTAAGTGTAGAAGTCTGACAAGGTGCCCACAGATGTTCAGAGACGGACACAAAGGGGGTGGGGGGGAGTGCCTCCTGTCCCTTCCTTGAGTTTGCAGAAGTCAGACCTGACTACAGCTCATACAGACCAGTGTTAACTTTCTGTGGTAAAGGATACTGAATACTGTCTTGACGTTCACATCATAAGATTAATCCACTGAGCATCTGCCTAGGGTTTAGGCCTCCCACACCCTTCCATAGTCATCTCTTGGTTATAGGCAACCTCCTGTCTCCTGCTCTCTGTTTGCCTCCTCCACATTTGTGGACCTCACCTTTCACTGTGTGGCCTTTGTACTTAATGTGGTCTTTAGCATATCTTCCTGTAGCACGTGCTGGTGGTTAATATTTTTTTATTTGCACTCTTGGTTCTTAATCTGTGTCCTGCCTTCGTTCTTAGAGCTGACTACCTAAACCACAGCTCACAAGGCGTATCAAGAAAAGCTGTAGGGTTGCTCTCTACACTTCTCAGGAGACAGCCACCCTTGACTTCTAGAGAGTGTTTTCCGTTTCAGAAACCCAATGACCCCTTCCTCCCCAAAGAATCCTGCTACTAAACAGTAGGTTCATTGTAGATTATTAGATCCAGGAATCACAATGTAGAACAGAGGCCATCTGGAAGCTGCCATCTGCAGACTAACCCTGCCTATCATGGACAGTCAGGACAGTTTGATGAGCTCAGGGCCTCAGTTGTCCCCTCAGGGTCTGCCCTGCTCCTAGGAAGAGACGTAACTGGGCTGCACAGGATCCATTTCTTATCCTGGGCAGCCCTATGGAAAGGATATTTCAAAAGGTCTTGCCTCGGATTCCCATGTGTTACTGGTATCGATGATACTTCCTTGGTCTGCTTTCTGAAGGACTGCTTGTCCCCTCACCTCCTCTAGCAGGGTACATCATTGAGTAAGTGTGGGAGCTCGTAAACTTCTGGGAACTCGGTGGCTTTTTTGGTCAAGTTGAGCAATGCCTGTGTGCTGAGCAGTCTTAAGGTACCATGCTCCTGTCGGGAAACGGGCCTGAAGGGTGACTTGGAATAGTGGTCACTGCTCTAGAATTGAAAATAGAGCCTCTAGTTGTGTGTGTGCTGAAGTGCCTGTGTGTTCGTGTATTTGCACAGATGTACTTAAGGATACAGAGACCAGACGTTGGTGCCAGCACCCTTTGTCAAGTGCTCTCTGACTCCTTTTGATTGTGACTAGCCTTAACGACTGAGCCATCTCTCCAGCCAACCCCCCACCACCCCCGCCTTGTTTTTGAGACAGAATGTCTAACTTCGTGTAGCTCACTGATTGGAATAGGTTGGCAGGCCAGCCAGCAGGCTTTACTCTCCCTGCCCCCTATCTCCATGTCTTTAGAGCTGTGATTCCAGGTACATTCTTTTGTGCTTGGTTTTTCACGTATGTGCTAGGAACTCAGTTCCTCATGCTTCCCTGCAAGAAGTGTACCCACTGAGTCATCTCCCCAGCCCCAAAGACTTGAAACTTAATAAACTACAGTAGCACTTGGCTGCCTGGATGAAATGAGTGAGAGGCGCTCTTGGACTGCACTTTGAAATCCTCCTGCTAGCATCTAGACCCATGTCATGGGTCAACCTTGTCACAGGAGTGCAGGTCAGTTGCAAGGATCCCGAAGCTAGTGCCAGCGATACTGGGTTTAACAAAAGATAAGGGTCAAATGAGAAATGGTATGTAAACTAGAAATGCTATGCTGACAGGACCAGCCTATCTTGCCTCTTGGGTAGCAACAGTGACAGCAAAGGGATTGTGTCGCTGTGCGCTAGGCCTTTAGTAAAGGCTCTTAATGTACCTTCTCAGCCTGGGCAACAGGAGACTCAAGATGGCTTCCTGCTGGCTGTTTGGAGAGATGCCACTGCAGGAGCTGAATGGAGCATTAGAAATGAGGACAAGACAGGGTCAACCTGAGTTTGGAAAGGACAATCGGAGGTTGAAAGGTTACACAGGCAACTCTGGCTGATTGGACCTGTACCACTTGAAGAAGGCATGAAGACAGAGCCTGAGGTCCCTTTGGTGACCAGCTGCCTGCCTCGAGAAGTTAGTGCTTGGTATGTACACAGGAGGTAAATAGCTCAGATCTGATTTGACGACGTGTCAGACCCTTGGAAGATGTCTTCGGTGTTCGAATGACCTCACAAATGGATGAGGCAGCAGACTGAAGGCTAGTTCTGGGTACACCAAAATGGGGGCAGCAGCAGCATAGTTGGTAGCTTCCTCCTGCTCCCTTTCCAGGGCTCACGAAGGGCTTACTAATAAGCTCGATTTCAGTAATGTGGCCTACTCCCCAGCTAACCTCCTAACCCTCAGGTTGGAGATTTAGGAGAAACTGGTGACTCCTGCCTGGCCTGTAGTAGTACCAGAGAGCTTTCCATATTCAGCCATCCCGTGTTGAAAAAGGAATGTTCTAGACCAGTTCCTTCAGGTTTCCAGTTTTATTTAAACAATGCCAATATATAAAGCGTGCTTCGCAAAGCACTGTTGTGGATTCCAAGTTCAGATAAATGTGCCTTCAAGACCAAGCAATGAGAGACAGCGTTTTTGTTGGCTGAGGGAGTCCATGGGTGCCTGTCAGGGTCCACAACAGGCTTCTGTGGTCAGCTTTCTAAGTAAAGGAAACGTCACATTGCTGCTGGTATATGGACACACTTAGCTTTGCAAGATAATTTGAAAGGCCATGAAGTCAATAACATTGGGATGCTTTCTAACAACTCGAGGTTAGCCAGAGAAATTTAAAGCTGTGCCCACAGTAAGTCACTGTGTTAATGCAAGCTATTGTTTTTATTGGGACATAGTGTAAGATAGGGCACACATTTAATCATGTACATACAAAGGTTAATAATGTACTTGAATAAGGATGGATAGGTAGATGGATGGATGGATGGATGGATGGATGGATGGATGGATGGATGGATGGATGGATAGATGAGCAAGCTAAAGTCAGGCCTACAGAATAACCAAGACAAAATCCCACTAGAACAGCAGTTCTCAACCTGTAGATCTCGACCCCTTTCCGAGTTGAC